TAGGGTGGCCAGATTTTAACATTTGTAAAGCGGGACAACATGGGGGGAGGAAGGGGGGGGGCAGGGGACTGGGCAGGGCCGGGCCTGACAACAATGCAAACTTTGATAAGTAGTTCTCGATAATCACTTCTCAATAATTATTTGTTATTATTACAGTTTAACATTATAAAATTAACAAAAATAATATAAAACTCATATTCTGGCGAAATAGCCACATGGCAGCGGAAAACCGTATATTCCCTTCCTGTTCTCCTGCCTGTTCCCTGCATTCTTTCCAAAAATCAGGACTTTTTAAAAACGCCGTGGGACCCAGGACAAGTTGTTCAAAAGCGGGACGTCTGGTCACCCTAAGCTACAGCACCGAACCTGCCTCCCCGACTTAATCCTGTGGTGAGCACCTGCCACACCTGGGAGAAGGAACACTTGCTAATCTGCAAAGGAATGCAAGGACTTGCCCAGCTGCAGGCCGGGCAGCCCAGCCACAATAGGACTAGGAAGTAGATCTAGAGTAACCTAAGGCTCATTATGTTGTAAATCTTCCATCAACGTGGTTCTACGGTGACGTCTGCACCCCGGGGGAGGGCCACTCAGGGCCAGAGCCTTTTTGTGGAGAGAAGAGGTCCATTTGCTCTCTGTGGGGAACGTATCTTGCTTTATAAACCTGTATCTTGCTTTCACTCTGTAAACCTTTCTCTTCTCCAATAAACTTCATGTCGCACTTGCCTTGCTTTTGGCGGGTCCAGTCATTCTTCGTCCAAGAGCACATCAAGAAACGGGAATGCAGACGACTGCCTGAGTCCAGCAAAAGCTCCGGCAACTTGAGCTGTAGCAGAGAAAGGCTGGAAGGAAGGAAATGGGATGGGAAGTTGAAGAGGGGAAGTAACCTTGCTCATTCTTTACTGGTTTACTATGGCCACCACTGTGAGTCCTGGAGAGAGGGAATAGGGCAATGGCAGAGGAGAGCAAAAGAGGAAACTTAGAGCAGAAGTAACTCCTTGCACCCGCATCCTAGTCCATTTAACAGCACAACATGAATAGGCCAATTATAATCGTTTGGTCCTCAAAGCATTTTGCTAAAAAGTGAAATTTTCATTTATTCTGATCACAGTTAAATTGTGCCCTAATTTAAAAAGCACCTGATATATATGTTTGGTGTTATTATTTATTTTTTTTTGTTTTTTTGCAGCTTTGGCCAGGGCCAGCCCCTTGGTGTATGGGGCTGGTGCCCTACTCCTTGGGCCACAGGTGCCACCCAACATTCAGTGTTATTCTTTGGTAAGTAAAGCATCAATAGACTAAATACATATATATTTATACATATTGTAGATATTGAAATAAAATCATCTTCAATTAGCTGCTATTTATTGAGTACTTATGTTGAAGATGATTTTATATTTAATCTCACTTAATAATCCCCTGAATCTATATAAAATCTCTATGATAAATATTATCCCCATTTTTCAGAAAAGGAAACTAATGCTCAGAGAACTTAAAACTTAAGTTACACAATTATTAGTGGGAGTGGGATTAGAAATGGGATTGTCTGACTCTTGAAATCCTCAGTTTACCCATTAACACCATAGTGTTACAACCTCTCTAAGTGTTAACATTTTGTTTTCTAGAGTTTGATTCCTCTGAGGCTCAGCAATGAGTAAGCAATGATTTAACAGGTTTAATAATCAAGGACTAATTTCTTGAGTGCTTCTGAGTTAAAAAAAGAAATTGGTTTACGTGCTCTGATAGGTCTACTTAAAACACCTTATAAGACCTTATTTAGTTTTACCCATTCTGCTTCTACTAACCAAGTCTTTGATTTTGGCCAAGTCGCTTAAACTCCTTGAACGTTCATAATCTAATGGAATCATTAAGAATTAATAAGATTTAGCTTAAAAATCTGTCTCTCTCATTATCTGTGCCTCTACCCAGGGCAAATAACTTAAGAGTGCTGAGCCACTCCTGCCTCTTCTTTTAAAGAATACTATCTTGGCTGCTGTAATACAAAATACTAAAGTCTAGGAGGCTTCAAACAACAGAAATTTATTTCTCACAGTTCTGGAGGCAAGAAGTCTACGAGGCTGCCAGCATGACCGGTTTCTGGTAAGAACCCACATGACAAGGAGAGAGGAACTCTTCCTTTTTTTTTTTTTTT